GCAACAGGACTAAAACTCTTGACAAGATACTCACAGACTCTGACAAAGGTTTGACAAGGATTAACACTCAGGTAACAATCACAATGAACCGACAAAATACAGCAGATACAAGAGGATGAAATAGGGAACACTAATGACGAGGACAGGTGAAACTGACTAGACAATAATCACGAGACGAGGATAACAAGGGGGCGGGGTAACGAGACGAGACAACGCAAGCACATGAAACATGGGTCTGCCATGATCCTGCCACAAGACCAGTGAAATCAAAGACAAGATGGCAGAATCATGACAGAACCCCCACCTTAAGGAGCGGCTACCAGACGCTCCTCAAGGGGAAACTAAACACAAGACAAGACAGACTGTGACATAGATAAACACCAACAAAACATGGAAAACACTAACAATGGCAAACAGGAATAAACAATAACAGGGTTCGGGTGAAAAATCAAAAACAACATACAATTTAAAGGAGGTGGAGGAAACACAGAGTTCATGGGGGGAGGTCCAGGGTGGATGGGAGGACTGGGGGTCTTGGGTCCACGGGAGGAAGGCTGAGGACGAGAACTCCGGGCAGGCTTGGACGGGGACACATGAGTAGAGGTCTTGGGAGAAACAGTCCGGGGACAAGTGGAGACAGGAACGAACGGTGAAACAGTCCGGGGACTAGTGGAGACAGGGACAAACGGGGAAACAGTCCGGGGGCTAGTGGAAACAGGGACAGATGGGGAAACAGTCCGGGGGCTGGTGGAGACAGGGCCGAACGGGGAAACAGACCGGGAATTAGCAGCAACAGATTCAGACGAGGACACAGAGGATGTGGAACTGGGACTCCTGACGTGAGACATAGCAGGCAAAGGGGCAGGACAGGGTGCAGCAATAACAGTGGCAGGCTCGGGTGCAGCGCTCACAGGGACAGGATCAGGTGCAGCGCTCACAGAGACAGGCTTGGGAGCTGAGGACAAGGCAGGACAGACAGGGGGTTTAAGAATAGCGACGAGACAGGTAATCGGAAAGGGTCTTGGCCGCAATGATGACGGGCATCTCCTGACGAGCTGAAACTGCTCGCAGAACCTCCTTAGCGGCTAGATCGGCCGCAACTCTCTCAGCGGGCTCTTGGACAGCGCTTGCTGAGGCGGGCTCTGGGACAGCGCTTGCTGGAGCGGCCTCTAGGGGGGCGCTTGCTGGAGCGGGCTCATGGACGGCGCTTGCTGGAGCGGGCTCATGGACGGCGCTTGCTGGAGCGGGCTCATGGACGGCGCTTGCTGGAGCGGGCTCATGGACGGCGCTTGCTGGAGCGGGCTCATGGACGGCGCTTGCTGGAGCGGGCTCATGGACGGCGCTTGCTGGAGCGGGCTCATGGACGGCGCTTGCTGGAGCGGGCTCATGGACGGCGCTTGCTGGAGCGGGCTCATGGACGGCGCTTGTTGGAGCGGGCTCATGGGAAGACAGAGACGGAGGACAAGAGGGTCCCTTCCTCCTCCTCTTCCTTCTGGGACGCGGAGCTGATGTCACAGCTGGACTGGTGATCGGCAGGAGAAGCGCAGCAGGGTCCATGACTGGAAGTGGGAGGGCTGTCTCAGGCAGGGAAGACTCCGTCGCTGAAGACTCCGAAGCAGACTCCCAGGAAATCCGTCTCCCTCGTTTTCCACGGAGACTTGCGGGTGTGGATGAAACCTCGGGAGAAGAAACGGAGAGAGCCTGATCCCCTTGAGAGATGACGGCCAAAACACGACCCTCCGGGATCACTGGCAGACAGGCAGAGGGTGGAGACCCCGAGGAAGAAGACAGCGGACCCTCCCGGGAGTAATGATCCCAGAGTCGGGCATAATTCTTCAGGATCCACTCACCCTGGGACGGGACTGGACAATCTACCCTCTCTTCATCGATGGGAGCCGATAACCACCATTGTTCCGGTTGTAGCCGGGGTCGGGAGGACATACTGTCTGCTGGGTTAGTTCTTGGTCGGTTCATTCTGTTATGAGGATGCGGAAGGATGAACCCAATAGCAGACAGTAGTCAAGGCAACACGATTTATTAGACAAATAACCGGAAAACAAAGCCCACGAGGGGGCAAAACAAGACAGGACTTATGAAGACTAACTAGACTGAGACAGATAACTATAGGGACACAAATAACCCTTACAGGCAATAGCGCAACAGGACTAAAACTCTTGACAAGATACTCACAGACTCTGACAAAGGTTTGACAAGGATTAACACTCAGGTAACAATCACAATGAACCGACAAAAGACAGCAGATACAAGAGGATGAAATAGGGAACACTAATGACGAGGACAGGTGAAACTGACTAGACAATAATCACGAGACGAGGATAACAAGGGGGCGGGGTAACGAGACGAGACAACGCAAGCACATGAAACATGGATCTGCCATGATCCTGCCACAAGACCAGTGAAATCAAAGACAAGATGGCAGAATCATGACAGGCCTATAAAAAATACTTATAAATCACTCATTATACCATATTTTCAACCAATATTGGATTCAATCTTTTTGTCAACTTGTTCTATTTCAATTAGGACTGGTTTTGCATTTCCATTTGCATCTAATTAATCGTGGGCCTCATTTATCTGAGAGTAGGCATCTCATTTTTTGAGTAATTTTTTTTTTATTTTTGAATAATTTTGGATTTTTTTTTTTTTTTTTTTTTTAAATTGGTACTGTTGATCACACTAGTCTACTTTAAGTGTGTGTGTGTGATAATGTCAGATAGATGAATGTATATTAGATGCAGTTCAGGGTAGAATCAATTTCATCACTGTGAAAAAGAATGTGTGATTCAGAAAATAGTTTGTGTGTGTGTGTGTGTGTGTGTGTGTGCATGTATCCACGCATGCACATGTCCAAGGGCTCTATGTATTCAAGCACACATGTACAAATGTGAACATGAACATGCTCCTGACAACTACATTTTTCTCAAATTTTTAGTCTCCCCCATTCACTTTCAATGACCGGGAACACCACAAGTGTGACTCTGTGTCATTTTGTGCAAAAAAACCCACACATTTCAAAACAAACGGTGTCATTAAATATTAAAGTAGACAAGTGTGATCAACAGTGCAATTTTTTTTTCATATTTTACTCAATATTGCCAAAATTATTAACAAATAATGCTTTTTTCACTCAAACACTGAAGTGCATAAGCTCGGATAAATGACTCCTACAATTAAACCGTTTGAAAATTAAATACAAAACCAGTCCTAATTGAAAGAGAACAAGTTGACAAAAAGATTGAATCCAAGATTGGGTGAAAATATGGTATAATGAGTGATTTATAAGCTATTTTTTATAGGCCAGTCATTTTGACCCGGGAAGACCACAGGTGTTATAGGGTTTTGAACACCACATGAGGGTTAAGATATTTATGAACCATCCAGAATATATGTATAACACATGCATAAACCATACACAGGTGTAAAGAGTAGGCTACCTCAAAACCATACTTGAGTAAAAGTACAGAATACCTTACATTGAAAATGACAGCATTACAAGGTACAAGTCACCAATTTGAATACGTCTTAGAGTATCTGACTTTAACAGTACTTTTTCTTGTACTGAATATAGGCTCAAAGATGCATCAGTCCTCAACACCTAAAAGACATACCAGTGAAAAACAAGAATCAATATAATGGATAAATGAAAGAATGTTAAGTAAAATGAAATAGTCAAAGGCTACTTGTACTGGACATGCTGGTTCGGCTGAAGCCATGTCCTCATTTCATAGCTTATGTGAAACAACTGCGGTTCAGCAACTACCTGATAAACTCACATTCACGTAAAGTAGCTTTATTGACAAGTTTGGGTGAGTAAGGGCGAAACGCATAAGATATAGTACATTCAGTTCCCTTTAGATGGCGATATCACTTCTTTTGTAGCAGAAATAAACTGCTGAAGAAAAGGTTAGGTGCCATGCATTTAAATGTATTGGAGTAAAGAGTACATATACTCACTCATATAAAAAATAATGTAGTGCAAATATCTTTGTTACTCAGTAAAACTAGAAAGTAGCCAAAAAAGATACTTAAGTACAGTTACTAATTACATTTACTCAAATACTTTACACCACTGATCCTGTAACATTACTGAGTATTGTCAAAATTATATTCTCTCATCAGACTGCTGACATAGACTCTGAAAATTATGCATCGCTGAAGTTTTCTTCAGACCAGCCTACACGTAAAATAAAAGGCCACAAAGAGGTCAATTCTGTGGTCTATGCATCTGTTCGGAAGCAGGAAGTGTAAAACAAGGATTTCCTCATTCTTAACGGTTGTCATGTTGTAACTGTGAATAAGATCGACTTTTAGACCTTTGTCTGTAAATTGTTTAAATGAATGTCACTTATCATGTGGTCACAAATAATATGAGCATCACAAGATTCAGCGGCAAGATGAAGTCTTGTATTTTGATCGACAAAGTGATGAGGGAGAGACTTCTGTTACTGTCTTTTATAGATTTTCTTAAATGTTGTCTTACAGGGCTTTCATCTTATAATAGCATTTATGTGACATCGTGCTGTTTATATTTACATTAAAACATGAAAAAAATCCATAAATTGTGTGTTTACAATAATTTACCATTAAATTCAGCACCATGGAGAGGGCGACATTTTGCAAATGAGGGGAAAACACTTTCAGAGCAAATTGCTTGGCATCAATAGACAAAAAATATCGGTATTATTACAAATTAACCCAAAAATGACACAAACATGGAAAATAGAGTATGTTTTTCTCTTAATTACTGTTGCAGCATTATGCAAAAATCCCGAAATGTACTACTAGTCACATCCAGATGATGGCAGTCAGATATCACTACACACAAACAGATACATCTCTTATACTGTAAAAACATGTGTTAGCGATAGCATGCAATGGCTTCCATTGGTGAACTTATACTCCTTATACAACTATAAAATCTTCTTCAAATGAAGTATTTTCTTTCTTCCTTTTCCAGACTACTCTGATGTTTTTGTATCACACACCATGTACTTGTCCCACAATATTTCATTCATTTTGTTTTATAGTTGATGTATCATAAAGTTTTGTAACAAGTATTTATTATGTTTTTAGCACGTCGCCACCCTAAGCATCTCTCTAAAATACATTTATCTGGCCTGCTGACAAGATTAGATGTCTGCTAGTTGCATTTGCTTACATACTGTACTTAGCAGCTTACTTCAGGAAACGGGCAGTAATCTGTGCATGCAAAGAGCAGTAGAGTCACATGATGAAACCCTCAGAAAGCATATTGATACATAGACCGAGTACCGCATTTAGACAGAAGTGCAAAAGACCCAGGAAGAACATAAAATGGATAGCAGCATCTACATGATACTTTTTCTCTTTCTTCATGAAGTCTGTAAGTACAAAATAACAAAACGTTTTTATCATTCTTTCTTTTTTTGAATGACAATATACAACATATCTGATAGTATTTAACTAAACATAAACATATGTTATTTATTTTCCCAACAGGTGAATATAATTGCAGTGTTGCTCATGTGGATCAGGTTTTAACCGCTCAAGAGGGGGACAGTGTGTTGTTATCTTGTCTTCTTTTAAATGATCAGTTACACCGAGCATTATGGTATAAACAGGTTCTTGGAGAGAAACCTGTCCTAGTTGTGTCTTCGTATCACTACTCTCAACCGAATGAATTTTCTCCAGACTTTAAAGAAACTCAACGATTCCATGCAGTGCGAACAGCTGATAGTTTTAACTTAACCATCCCGAGGACTTTGAAATCTGATTCAGGCACGTACTTCTGTGCCGCTGCCTTTGCCAATGTGGTTTCCTTCGGGACTGGAACTATTCTGTTGGTTAAAGGTGAGGATTGTAAAACTTTTTTTTTTTTTTTTTATAGAGATGGGTGATTCCTTTTATTGTCAATGTCAATTGTTTTTTCCCACCCTCCCTTTTAGGTACAGACCTAAAAGCTGCTGTTATACAACAGCCTGTGCTTGGTGTTATCAAGCCAGGAAGCAATGTGACTCTGCAGTGCTCGGTGCAAGTGAAAATGTGTGATAAAGGAGTACAACTAGTCTACTGGTTCAGACAGGGTTCAGACACAATCCATCCAGGAATGGTTTACGCTCATGGAGACACGAACAACGAGTGTGGAAAGAACTTCGCAGCCTCCACTTCTAATGCGCAGAGCTGTCTCTACAACCTCCCCAAGATGAATGTGGGTCTCTCTGATGCTGGAATGTACTATTGCGCGGTGGTAACTTGTGAAGAAGTTGTATTTGGAAACGGCACAACGTTGGTCATTAAAGGTAATTGCCTTATTTTTTTGAGAAGTGCACTTTTATCCAAAGCGACTTGCGAAGTAGGAACACCGCAAGCCATTTATCATAAGAGCAAAATTTGCAGTACATAATGCCAAATTTCAAAGATAAATTAGATAAGATAAGTACACATGCTTTTTTAAAATGAGTTATAGATAGAACGATAGATAGATGGATAGATAGATAGATAGATAGATAGATAGAACGATAGATAGATGGATAGATAGATAGATAGATATACAGATAGATAGATAGATAGATATACAAATAGATAGATAGATAGATAGATAGATAGATAGATAGATAGATAGATAGATAGAATGATAGGTAGGAAATAGAACGATAGATATATGTCTTAAGTCATAAAAACAAAGTCTTTCTTTTATTTGTAGGAAACCTTTTTATGTTATCCTTAAAGTAAAATCCTTTTTAAAGAAAACAATGAAGTCAAAGTATGAATATAATCAATGTTGTTATTTTCATAATCATACTCCTGCATGGGGATTAAACTTAATTGAACTAAATATAAGTTTTTAACATAACACACTCTGCAGATTTATAAAGTTGCACAATGTTTATTGTGTTTCAGATGAATTTAATAATGAGAGTCTGCAGTATTTTATTTTAATTGGCCTTGCAGTGGTGTGTACAATCAGCTTTATCATCAATCTGTTGCTCTGCTTACCAATGAGAAGAAAAGGTAAGTTATTTCTTAATTCAAGTGATATAATTTCAGTTAAAGTATTATCAATAATGATAATCCTAATATTAGAAAGTATGTGTTTATATAATAGAATAACTCTTTTCGTACTGCTTTATTTGACTTCTAACAGTTAGATCGCCTCAACAAATCCAGACTACGAATGACGATACAACCAGAGTTGAGGTTAGGAGAATCATATGTGTGAGTTAACTCGTGAAATTGAAAAGAGTGCTGAAAAAAGTCTCTTTCTTTCTTCTAGTACCGCAACACTGATGACATTAACTATGCTGCCCTGAACCTTTCCACAAAAAGAGGTCAGAGAAAGAGGACCTTAGAGGAGACGGTGTACTCTAGACCCATGTTGCGCGATAATATCTGACACCTATTGTCGAATTGCATCATAATATTTAACACAAACTCCAAGAGTGCATTAAAAAATACTGTATTTGTGTCTCTAATGATAAAACTTCCTCTGTGCGTCTCTGCTTGTTATGCTACGTGTTAAACGTGTTTTGCTGAGTGTCAACATTAACATTTCTGTATAAAAGAAACAACGTGCAAAATTATACAAAAGCATAACCACATCCTGTCAGGGTGTAACTATGTGAAAGTAGTGTGTTCATCAACTTGAATAAACGTCTCAACATTTTTAGGTCAACCTTCTCTAATTCAGTTATTCATCCCCAACACCGTATGGTTACTTCCTCTACAACAGAGCATGTGTGTTAAATAGTTCATCTCAATGCAATGCACTCGATTTGACCTTCCGTTTCCAGTGAATGTAGTACAGGAGATATCAACTATGATATTTAACATATCATTCAAGTCAAGTCAAGTCACCTTTATTCATATAATGCTTTATACAATACAGATTGTTTCAAAGCAGCTTTACAGTGATATAGTTGGGGGCCTTAAGCACACAAATAGGTGATTTCGCGCAAATTCATCTAAAAGCGCCAAATTTGGCACAGGCTATAACTTTTGAACCACATGAGTTACAAATATAAACTTGATATGTTTTTCAGCTTAATTGATCATGAGAAACACATAGGAATGTTTATATTTATGACCCAGTATATCTGGACCCCTTGATCCTCCAATTCCAATATGGCCGCTGTCCAAAAAAGCATTTTGGGCTGTAGTATGGGGCCTTACACCCCATTGTTTGGGCAAATTCATCTACAAGCACCAAATTTGGCACTTTTAGATGAATTTGCGCGAAAATGTGCTTAAGGCCCCCAACTAATAACAGAAAAAGAAAATAGTCTCATAGTTCAGCTGGAGTCAGTTCAGTGTAGATTCAGTTCCATGTACAGATAATCAGCAATTTAATTAGTTCATTTTCATGTTTTCTGCAGAAAACGGTGATGTCATCGCCCATCTCAGTTCAGTTCTCCAATCAAATCAATAATGTTGTTGAATATTAAGTGTCCCCGACTAAGGAAGCCAGAGGCGACATCCTTCTTATACTCATCATGATGTGATCAGACTACCGAGAATTAAATTCAACATGAGTCCGCAATTCTGCAATGTGACATACTGTATTTGGAGAAAAAATAGATATTCAATGAAGGGGACATTTTTTGGGTTAATTTCCATGCAAATCATGGAACTGGTTTCCTTAATTGCAGCGGAAGGCTTGAAAAATAAGTGGGGATTAGTGACTGTGAACAAAGGAATGGTATCAGAGTTGTAGGATTTTTTTCTTCTTCTTTGGAATAGTAAAAGTAAATTTGGATTAGATTTGGATTAATGCTGACCAGACATTTTTATTTCCAATACGAGAACAGGATGCACCTCGCCTGAAAAAGGCACATGAAACATTGCAACGAGAAAGAGATCTAGGACAGGACTTGCTTTTGTACATTGGCAATTGATTGGATGGTTGTGGTTTGCTATTGGTCGATCTCATGTGAGTGACAGGTTTCCCCGCCCTTGCTCGGTAGAACACGTCATTAGAGAAGAGAAAAATAATGATGTGCAATGATAAATCATTTATTATAATTAAAGCAAATTAATTGTCAATATGTCATAGGCCCGGTTTAACAGTGAAGGCTTGGATTAAGCCAGGTTTAGGCCTTAGTTCAATTAGGACATTTAGGATGAAGCGATGCGTTTGTGTAAGTAAAATATCCATATTTAAAACTTTATGACGTCCGAAGTAGCGTAGTGCGTCATGGCGTAACGTACATATCACAGTATGTCGCATTACTCCCATAAGTTGCGCTTTAGGCTTATGTCGAATCTGTATGTTTGTTTGGCCGGAAGCTAGTTATTTTACTTTATATTTATATACTTTACGTTTTAAATATGGATATTTTTCTTACACAAACGCATTGCTTCGCTTCAGAAGGCCTTTATCAACCCCCCGGAGCACTTTTATGATGGATAGACGTACTTTTATGGACTTCAAAACAGAAACAACCATTCACTGCCATTATAAAGCTGGGAAGAGACAGGACTCTGTAAGACCGTCTAATTTGATCCAATGCCGGCATTCAAATTAGCGGTGAAGGTCTCAACGCGCGTTTCGTCTCTTCCAATGGCAGAGGGATTTATAATTAAATGTAATACTTTTTGTCTTATGTATTAACTCGTTTCATCTGACTCCATAGAATGAAAGTGTTTTAATGATATCTGTGCATCATTAAGTATACGTTAATGTTTGACTGTTTCTTTTAACTCCAATGAAAATAATATCAAAGTCTGTTAGAATAATCAAATATAACAATTTATTATGTCAGGTAAAAGTATTATGCCAATTTCATAATCAGTTCAAATATCATCAATACAAAACATCAAATGCTCTAGGAATAGATGCAAACCCAACATTTAAGAACTACATGAGCTAAACCTCACGGGCTATCTGAAATACAGAAAAAGCCACGATCCCTTGCTGCCTTCCATTAAATAGCCAGACCTCATTTCATATGTAAACCTGTATTCACAGTGGAAATGTACTGTGTTCATCCCCCCAGACTTACTGGGGGCAGAAGTAAATTTACATGGTACCATTTGCTAACAGTGGAAATTAGCATTGAGTTCACACCTTGGGAGTAGGAGACCACATTCATTTGTGTGCCAGATATCCCTAAACTCTTAAAAAACCTTATTACCTTTTGTTTTATACTTTGGGAATGAGACATCTGAACCAGCCACCCTGAGACCTTTAAAATGATACCAAACATAATACTCAATGATAATCATTCACATCAAACCATAGATATTCTTATGTGAGTTTTTATGTGTCACTGCGAGAGTGGGGGATGCGGGGAAGAAGTGTGTGTGTGTGTGTGTGTGTGTGAGAGTTCAAATGTTAATTTGCCAAGGTCCTTTGTCTCATAGACCAGTGGTCTATCTCTTCACCCAGTTTCCAGTTTTCCAGTCTTACAACTCCGACTGTTTTCGTCTGAAAGAAGAATGCCATATAGACCTATGACTTGAGAGTGAGTAAATCATGGGCTACTTTTCATTTTTGGGTGAACTATCCCTTTAAGTAGCTTTTATAAATATGCCTTTAAAGGGATAGTTCACTTTGAAATTAATTTTTGGTATGTTTTAGCTTACCTCAAGGGCATCCAAGATGTAGGTGTCTTTGTTTCCGCAGTAGTTTCAATTTTGATATTTTTAGGTCAAACCGTTCTTGTCTGTCAGTCATATAATGCAGGTCTATGGTCACTTCCTCAAAGAGCATGCACAGAGAAGTCCAAATTAAACATGATTTAATGACTCGTAAATGTTAGTACACATTGATGGCCTAAGACACGAAACGAGCGGCTTGTGTGAGAAAACGAACAGTATTTATATAGTTTTTGCCTCTTGTAACCACAGCCACGTCCAAGTGATCTGAGGGCGCGGGCGCTTCGGTCTTTTCCGGAAAGCGCCGGAAGTGATCTCTCGCGCGGGTACGTCACTCATTGTTTACACAGAACAGAGATTGTAGGTAAGACGGCTAATTCAAATGGTACTAATTTGCGCTTATCCGGGATGTTTAAACCGTCGTAAACCCCCCCCCCCCCCAAAAAAACAAAAAAAACAATTGTATGAGTGACGTACACAGAGATCACTTCCGGCACTTTCCGGAAAAGACCGAAGCGCCCGCGTCCTCAGATCACTTGGACGTGGCTGTGGTTACAAGAGGTAAAAACGACATAAATACTGTTCGTTTTCTCACACAAACCGCTCGTTTCGTGTCTTAGGCCATCAATGTGTACTTACATTTATGAGTCATTAAATCATGTTTAATTTGGACTTCTCTGTGCATGCTCTTTGAGGAAGTGACCATAGACCTGCATTATATGACTGACAGACAAGAACGGTTTGACCTAAAAATATCAAAATTGAAACTACTGCGGAAACAAAGACACCTACATCTTGGATGCCCTTGAGATAAGCTAAAACATACCAAAAATTTATTTTAAAGTGAACTATCCCTTAAAAAAAACTTAGCTTGTATGAATCTTGAGACAAAATAATGGCATTGACATATTTTAAGGTATGCAAGTTGATTTCAGTTAAGACAGCTCAAAGCATTTTAGTCTGGGACTAGACTGAAGCCTCGTCTGTGAAACCGACCATCAGTGATTTTAAACATGAAACATGATGAGGTCATGTGACAACAGTGTAGAAAACTATAAGCTACCAGGTGATGGCAGTGAGGGATCACAAAAATAAAAAAACTGATTTTTCTACCTTGATTTACAACATATTATGTCATTTATGTATGTAAATGTACTTATACAATATTCATTCATCATTATATAAAGATCTACAGTACATATAATCTCCCAGAACACGCCTTCATTTTCATTCATTTAAACAGAAGTTTTGTTTGTGTTCATAACTCATTATATGTTTATAATAGATGGTATCTTTCAGGGTTTAAAATTGTGGGTTAATAGTTTAGTTCTTGGAACCAATATGCTACCAAAAGCTATGCAGATTCCACCAAAAAATAACAACAACATACGGGCCTGTTTTGTTGTTTGTTGTATACCACCACTGATTTTACCATTATCAATTGTATACTGACTGTAAAATGGAACGTAACATATTCATTAACATATTTCAAGATTAAATTGATTTTATGTTTCTTTGCTTGAGTACACACGTCAGCTATTGTCCCTACTCTGACATGTATTATAAAGAGAACGTTTCCTTTGTCTGATGTTATATTATCTGTATTGAGAGTATTGCACAATGTTAGTTATTCCAAATGTGTATAACTTAATCTCTAGTCAGTTTTAATCATGTTATATAAATTGATATAAATATTAGAACAGATCATTTACATTAAAGATTATACCGTGATGTAGCACATCTGTGTTAAAAGTAAGTTGAACAAGGAAATGACTTGTTAGCTCAGAGAGCCAATGGAAACATGTCACAGGGCTTCCAATCGAAGCAGAGACAAGAGAATTAACCTTCTAAGTTTGTGCCCTGGAGATCATATGTGAAAATGTATGTCATTCTCTTCATTGTATGCGTTCTCTTTTATAAACCATGTAAGTACAAATTTACAACAGTAATGTTTTTCTTGAGCTTTCTTTACTTTTCACTGTGTCGTCTATGTAGAAACGCATTTAAGTAATGACTGCTATTTAATATTTTACAGCAATGCAATATTCTGGAAGTATTTTGCAGATGGGGGATGTAACAGTTCAAGTGGGTGATGATGTGACATTTCACTGCTTTCACCCAAAAGACCAAATGAATAGAGTCATGTGGTTCAAGCAGACTCTGGGAGAAAAACCTGCTCTTGTAGCCTCTTCATATCACTGGTCTCAAGACAGTGTACTTCATGATGAGTTTGCAAAGACAAAGCGCTTTAAAATGAATCCAGGGCAAGGCAGCTTTAATCTAACCATTGAAAGAACTGTACAATCCGATTCAGCCACATATTATTGTGCCGGTTCCTTTATGAACATTGTCTACTTTGGAGCTGGATCTAACCTGGTGCTTAGAGGTGAGCGGTTGACTAACCCTTTCGGAAATGAATCACATTTTACAGCCTTAAATTCATTATCTTCCTTCAATAGGTTCTAAATCCAACCGGATTCATATTCTGCAGGAAAAGCAACCTGGAACATCATCATCAGATGGAAATGCGACTCTGCAGTGTACAATCCAAAATGAACAACAGAGTTGTGGAGGCGAACACAGGGTCTATTGGTTCAGACCCGGTTCAGGAAAAACTAGTCCAGGAATCATTAACACTCAAGAAAGTTGTAAAAACAGCTCTGTGACTGCCTCTCCTTCCAGGAGCTGTGTCTACAATCTCTCTATGAGAAACATCAAGCCTGGGACTTACTACTGTGCTGTGGTCGCATGTGGGGAGATTTTGTTTGGACATGGAATCACTCTGGATATTGACGGTAAGTGTGGTAAATACAAGATATCGCATACATGTCATTTCAGGGTGCTTCTAGTGTAATGCCTAAACAAAAACTGTCCATTTATGACCAAAAACACTGTATAATACAACAGAGTACTTTAGTGTGCATATAGCATTTTTAAACAGGGGTTATTGTTGATATAGAATACAGATTTTGTACTGATGAAAAATTATTTGCATGCGAATACAGATTTTGTACTGCTGAAAAATTATTTGCATGCGAATACAGATTTTGTACTGCTGAAAAATTATTTGCATGCGAATACAGATTTTGTACTGCTAAAAAATTATTTGCATGCTTCATATTGTTGTAATATGGAAGCTTGTTTCCGCCACAGAATGCAAAAATAAAAAAGGTATTTGCGACTTTTTATCTCACAATTCTGACTTTTTTTCTCACAATTGCGAGATATAAAGTCAGAATTGCGTGATATAAAATCGCAATTGCGTGTTGTAAAGTCAGAATTATGAGATATAAACTATTCTGAGGGGAAAAAAGTTAGTCTTTTTCCCCCTTAGATTTGGCCTGATAACTCGCAATTGCGAGTTTATATCTCACAATTCTGAGAAAAGATGTCAGAATGTCGAGATATAAACTCGCAATTATGTGTTATAAAGTCAGAATTGCGAGATGTAAACTCGCAATTGTGAGAAAAAAAGTCAGAATTGTGAGATAAAGTTGCAATTCTGTCTTTTTTTCTCGCAATTGCGACTTTATTTCTCAGAATTGCAACTTTATATCTCGCAATTGCGACTTTATTTCTCAGAATTGCAACTTTATATCTCGCAATTGCGACTTTATTTCTCACAATTCTGACTTCATTTCTCGCAATTGTGAGATTAAAAAGTCGCAATTATTTTTATTTATTTATTTTATTCAGTGGCGGAAACAAGCTTCCATAGTTGTACAGTAGTGGCCAAAAGTTGTAAAAAAATTATATAGATTTAAGGGAAACCCAAAACCAAACTTGGTTAAGGACAAAATTATTTGGCAAAAAGGGGCAAACTTCAGCTACAGGTTTTATTGTACTATGCAAAGGGGGAAAAAAGACTAAAAAAATAAAAAGGTCTGCACAATTTGGCATGTTTAATTGCTTCGTCACAAATAAAACAATTGACTACGAGCACAACTGTGCGATATGATTCTTTTTTGCTATATGCAAAACCCTATAACAAATGTTTAATAATTTTTGGACATCGCTTTTGACCACTACTATAGTGGACATAATTCAGTTATTTTATTGTTTCAGATGGACTGAAAGGCCAGCACTTGCAGTTTTACATTCTCATTGGCCTTGCACCATTGCTGGTCATAAGCTTCATCACTAATGTTCTACTTTGCGTGACAAAGACAAAAGGTAACCATTGACATGACTAAAATATAATATAAAAGTGCAATATATGCGGCATTTTGTATTATTCCTTTTAACAATGCCATTTTGAAGTACTAAAACTCGTCTAATATTTCATCTTATAACAGGCAACACATCTCAGCAAGTTCACACAACAGAGTCAAGGGCACAGGTTTGTGTTACATGGACAGACAAAATTATACGCGTATCTAAAAGTCAAGTATTTAGTGGTGTAGTGATGTATACATCACTTCATGGAAATGTTTATTAAATATATATATATATATGTATTTTATTTTTAGTACCACATGACCTCTGATATGAATTATGCTGCCGTAAACTTCACAAATTCCCAAAGTTCAAGACAGCAGAGAGTGGAGAGGGAATGGCAAACAGAATACTCTGGACTGAAATTAAACGATTCTGTACCGTAACTGTATTTGTACTGTATTTCTGTACTGTATTTGTAATTGCTAATATTGTTTGCTAACCAGAGCCATGTCATATTTTATGTTCTGAAATAATTTTTAAAATTTAAATGTCTCTTTATTCTGTTGAAATAACCACAGCCATGCATTGTGCTCTTTCTTAAAGGGATAGTTCACTTTGAAATTAATTTTTGATATGTTTTAGCTTACCTCAAGGGCATCCAAGATGTAGGTGTCTTTGTTTCCGCAGTAGTGTCAATTTTGATATTTTTAGGTCAAACCGTTCTTGTCTGTCAGTCATATAATGCAGGTCTATGGTCACTTCCTCAAAGAGCATGCACAGAGAAGTCCAAATTAAACATGATTTAATGACTCATGTTTATGTTGATGTCATGTTGAAGAGGTAAAAACGATATAAATACTGTTCGTTTTCTCACACAAACCGCTCGTTTCGTGTCTTAGGCCATCAATGTGTATTTACATTTACGAGTCATTAAATCATGTTTAATTTGGACTTCTCTGTGCATGCTCTTTGAGGTGGTGACCATAGACCTGCATTATATAACTGACAGACAAGAACGGTTTGACCTAAAAATATCAAAATTGAAACTACTGCGGAAACAAAGACACCTACATCTTGGATGCCCTTGAGGTAAGCTAAAACATATCAAAAATTAATTTCAAAGTGAACTATCCCTTTAATGTGTATTAATGTACTGTATGAGAATAAAGTGTCTTATTTTTCCAGTAAAACAATCTTTTGTTTTGGTTAATGTTAGATAAGATGCACCACAAACCACAAGGTCTGCAAGTTAGCCCAGTTGCACCCCTTTGCTGTGGTAAGATCTAATCAACAGACCAAACTACATAGAAGAGCTTTAGTCAGCCCTCTTTCATTCGACATACATGAGACAGCCAGTATAACTTTGGCCTATTTAACACCTACTCAACTCTTCATTTCAGAAGTGAGGGGGACAGAATATTTTTTGACCTTTGTCTAATTGACATGTTTTCTCTTTCTTTTAATTGGCTAAGAAATCAAACACACTGCTGAACAATAACCACTCATTTGTATTCTACAATATGCTTCCCTATATTTTCCTTATGACAATTTTATGAATGGTTTATGTACTACAGACACTTGTGCAATGAGTCATCATGCATTTTATACAATGTGAATTTTTTTTTAAATTACAGAATAAGGCAGAAAATATCCTATTTTAGTTCCTATACTGTGAAAAAGGCTGCCAATTAGCACTGCAGAATTCATGTACTTTATTGTTATGAAAATACCATTAGATGGCTTGAAACACACACATAAACCATTTATTGTCGCAATTGTGTGTTTACTGTCTTCACGTTTCATCAGTCAAAGCGTTTCTGCTTTTTATTTTGCTACAGCGATAGCTGGAAGCCTTTGTCCATATTATGGGTTTCCTGGAACGTCATACCTACATATTTATTACATACAAGTCCGTTTTGGACTCTGCAAGACGGCGCCCTTCCAGTATGAATGAAACATACAGTACATTACATGAGTGTTTAGCGCTCTATAATATTCACATCGTCTCGTTTTGTATAAGAAAACGTCAGGTCATGTATAGACTATCTTGTCTCTTTGAATTTAAATCTAGATTTATTCACGTAGGCCAATGAAAACCTCTATGTGAGCACGCATATGAAGGGAGGGTGGGATCTCATGCTTTCAAAGCTAACTTTCTATTGCTAGCCTCTCTGCAATTGCCTTTGTACTACGCCCATACTCAACTCTTTCCCTTCTCGCTGTGTGGCACAAGCTCTCTGTCCCATTACCCATGATTAATGAACAAAACATGACTCCCATCAGGACAATCTCTTCATTTCATTCAAGTCCAGCTGAAAAGTAAGAGAGGAAGAGATATAATGGAAAGAGGTCAGGCTAAACATGTCAAACTGAAACGGGGGCGGCTCGAGTGAACTACATCATATCCTGCTGAGTGAGCGACAGGAAGAAACTGCTTAGTGTAGAGCACAAACGGCTGCAGTGAACATCAGCGGATCAGCTTTGTATCTTGTATACTTCTAACTGTTATCAAAATACATCATTTGAATCATTTTAGCTTAAATAGAATTAATCGTGTGATCATTAATTATTTTTTTAGAGTCTACGTAAATGGTTACTTGTAATTTGTCCCACTTTTATAGTATTACTGTTTGTTGAATTTTAGTTTTTTTATATTTCTTAGATCTAAACTAAAAGAAAGCATAACCAGGCACAAGTACATATATTGAGACTACATATAGGGTACATATCCGTAGAAATATTTAAAAAGTGCTAAAAATAAAACCTTTTTTTTTTTTAAATCACAGAATAAGGCAGAAAATATGCCTTAAATATAAAAGGCATATGTTTTATTAAAAATAGAAATAAATAAATAAATAAAGTGGATCTGGACCTTTGCTCTGCACTGTAAATGAGCACGCATCATGGTTTAAGTAGTTTCCACCCACAAGACCCATTTATTTCTCTTTCACAACACTTGCTTCATCAAAACCACAACAAAAATACTTACGGCAATTTTTGTCTTCACATCCCTTTCCATTACCAAAAACACAAATAGCTCACCCTGCTCAGAAGGAACGTTAATTACAAGAAGCCTCCGAGATCTTCCTGGACATTTTTTTTTATATATAGTATCACTAAAGATACCCGCATGTGCATCTCCAATTCATGTGTTTATAACACTTTGAGTTGTCTAAATAAATACATAATAAAATATGCACTATATGCATCCATTTTCATACTTTATCAATTTAATGTTGAGAATAAACTAGAGTACACCATGTAACTTTTTTGAATTTCACAATTAACACAATTTAAATGAGTCAATGCATCATAAATCCTTCTTCCAAAACATGTTTTTTTCTTAGCGTATTTATTTTTTAGACTGAGCTGTCATTCAATGCACTGCATTAATAGAAAGCGAGTAAATTAATAGGAAGGGAGACACAAGACAGACAGGAACAAGACATGAACCCACACCGTGACACCTAGAAGGCTCAGGTGGACTGGACTAGGAAGAACACAGACTCATAGCGTTCCGTTTGAGACACACCCATGTTGTACTTTTAAACATTTATCAGTTTTCTGTACTGCTTTCATACCTTACCTTATTCGGCTCCCACTGCTGCTCAAAACAGGAGGAACTGCATGAGCAAAAAGAACAAAACAGCACATCGTATTATTCAGCTCGGTATTATTAGCCTATGTTTGAGACATCAACCACTGGTCGATGATCATAATGTTTGTATAAACTTGTCATAAAAACCGTAATGATAATTACACTTAAATATTTTATTCTCAGCCATGTTAACAATTGTCCGTGAGTGACATCCCATCCGTTGTCCGATTGGCCTTTCGCAAGGATTCCTGGGTAGTTAAAGTGCGTGGAGCCTGCATCTATGCGGGCTTCGCGGAAGACAAGGGTACAAAGGGGGCGCTGCTGAGCACACTTCAGAGCGTTAAAATGCTAAATGGGACGGCCTACGGACTCGTAGACTCGGCGAGCACGTGCAATTTAAGTCCACGAGACCGAAAGTCCGCATGAAGTGCGCAATTTGGGACAGGGCCCTAGAAGGCTCAGGTGGACTGGACTAGGAAGAACACAGACTCACTAGGATTCTGTTTGAGACACACCCATGTTGTACTTTTAAACATTTATCATTTTTCAGTACTGCTTTCATACCTTACCTTATTCGGCTCCCACTGCTGCTGAAAACAGGAGGAACTGCATGAGCAAGAAGAACAAAACAGCACATTACAAGTTAGAATATTACATCAGAGATATTCCAGGGCTTGATATCTTTTTGCTAATTTTTCAGTGACCTCTAGGTTCTGCTTTATGTAGTAATTAAAAAAGAAAATGCAGTTTTTCATTTTTCATTTTATCACACATTTAACATTAAAGGGATAGTTCGGCCAAAAATGATATTTAACACATGCATTACTCACCCTCAAGCCGTTCGAGATGCATATGTCAATCTTGTTTCAGACGAACACATTTTCAGTTATTTTAGAAAATGTCTTAGACCCTTCAGTGGATATAATGTGAAGCAATGGGGTCCACCTCCTTCAAGTCCCAAAATGTGCATACATCCTTCACAAAAGTAATCCATCCGGCTCCAGGGGGATAAACGAAGGCCTTCTGAGGGTAATCCGTGCGGTTTTGTCGTAAAAATATACATATTTAAAACTTTATAAATGAAAATATCTGACTTCCGGCAACGATCGACGCGCGTTCACGGGTGAACTGAGTGTAGTTTTGTTTTGCTCTGCACTCTGGCTGCGCAGGCGCGTTCGTTCTACGTCACGCCGGTTCCTACGCTACGTCATACCTCGTACGCCGACTTCCATCACCCGTGAACGCGCGTCGATCGTTGCCGGAAGTCAGATATTTTCAATATCAGATTTCAGATTTCAATATCATTTTTGGCCGAACTATCCCTTTAAGAGTTACGTCCTCTTTTTTTGTTTATGTTTCTTTAAAGAATAAGGTTGTATATATATACATATATATATATATATATATATATGACAAATGCAATAAGGGTGTGCTGTATTTTATTTTATTATTTTTCTAATTGCATAAAAACTTGCATTACAGATCCGCAACCTCAACCTCAACTTTGAGTTCACAGTGCAGGCCGTCAGTCTCAGGGTTGCGTTTGTGGTCAGTGCATGAAAGTAAAAAATAGAATGGAAAGATCAAGCAGGCAGCCTTCACTCAATCTTAGTGGTCAAAAGTTTCCATAGCATCTGACCTTGCTAAAAAAAAAAAAGGTGTCAAAAACAGTCACTTAGTTGCTTAGTCTGTTTATCACTACCACATGTGAAAGACTGAACTACAAAGACTTTTGATTTCAGGTGTTACATTTCTTCTCATGGAGCACTGCATGACAAAGCTTTTCAGAAGTACAGTTTAGACTACTAATATGAAAACATGTTAAATAGGTATGAATTGGAAAGTGTGCATGTATGAAAAATGCATGTGCGTAAAGGGTTTTATTTAAAAACGAAGTAGTGTATGTAACCCTTAAATGGAATAATAAAAACTGTCAGACAGGTTCTATTGTTGAGATGAACAGGTAGTCCTGCCTCAAACTCACACCATCGGTTAAGCCAACGTTGCTGTGTCATAATGCTAAAAAAACAACAACACAGTAATATTTTGACAGAGCCACAGTGTTTCAGATTAAAGGTTCTCTAAGCGATCCTGGGTGACGTCACTTCTTGTTGACGTTCGAACTATTGTCAAACAAAACGGAGGCTAGCTAGACCCTCCCTCCTCCTCATCCGCACACTAACCCCCCAAACCACACCCCCAAACCCTTCTTGTCGGTCATTGGCTGGAATAGTTTATTATGTTTCAGGGAGCGGGTCGCTGCAGTTTGCTTTTGTTGCTGTTTGTGGAGCCTGGGCTGTCTACAGAGATCGCGTTTCTTTACAGTGTGTTCAGGGGACAGGCAGCCAGCGGTTAGTGAGGAGATGTTTGCTGTATGTGACAAAAAAATTTTTGCCCTAAAAAACGCGTGACATCGCTTAGAGCACCTTTAACTTAGTAATATTTATGCATAAACCGTGATAGGAGATTTTAACATGTTATAACATAATTTTACAGGTATTTTAAAAGTGCATTAACATAATTGTTTTTACTCTTCTTTTTTTATACCAAATTACTTCACCTTTAGGTTGTTTTTCAAGAGTAGGCCTTGTTCATATATAGTTGAGTAATAAACTTCTTTAAAACCATAGACTCATTAAATGTATAAATAAATATATATATATAAAACACACATTATTTATGTTTATTATGTATTTTATTGATTAGTTATACTGCAGAATGAAGAAAAGGTCATTAATTCCATTCATGGTAGTAAATCAAAGATGATCATATGTGATCTGCTGTATGATATGATTATATCATATTCAATTTATTTGATGTAGGAAACTAATTAAGGTGCATCAAAATATTGTATTGTGTCTTGTGCTGCATCAAAAATTACAGTTGTGCAGTTTCAGGACCATGGACAGGGATATTCATGTCAAAGGTTACAGTGCTAATACATGTGACCCAAATCGATCTGTTAGCTGTCACGAACTTGGTTGCAATTAAGGTGAGGGAACGGATCTATTCGCAGCAGTGTATATGTATTTAACAGAACTCAAAATACTCAGAACACTAGAAAAAGAACAACCATTGCAATATGGTTGTCGGATGTCCACTGTGGTTTCGGACACTACAAATGGCTGTCCCCTCAAATAGTGCCTTATTTAAGGATATAGTGGGGCGATTTCGGACACAGCTAAGGAATAACCAAGGAAACTAATTGAAAACACAGGAATGTGAACTAAACTATAGTGAAAACCCATTTAAACAGACAAAGAACACAGATAATGCCTTACATTACCCTCTTTGGTCGACACAGACTACTAGTGAAATACTGAAAACACACCCATACAGACAAAGAACACAGATAATCCCTTTCAACAAGCTTTTTTTAAAATATTCATAAGAAATAAACATTTGTTAGAGGAAGAAGATTTAATCTTAAAATTATATAGTCAAATATAGATACGTTCTGTGTAGACTAAAAATGATAAATTGATTGCATTATTATTTATGTCTTTTTAATAATTTTAGGTTGAGAGCAAATAAAATGTTCACTTTTTGGAAAAATGTATATCATCCAGGTACATTTTACATGGATCAAACTTTTTTGTCTACAGAACTAATTTAAACTGTGGTTGGAAGCACTCTGCACTTAAAACTGTGTCAAGTCCAGGAAATGAGCATGATTTGCTGACTTAGAAAATCATGTGACCTTATCAGGTATAAGTGCATATAACAGTTAACTGTGAGAGCTACTTTAATTTTCTTAGCCTGAGCAGAGAATGATATGGATGAAGATAAAATGAACAAACAACTTTGTGTGATGATTTTCCTCTTGTATGAAGTCTGTAAGTGCCATTTCAATAATATTCACATACATTTAAGAAATAATGTTAATGCTTTTCTAAAGATCTAAAGTTTGTAATCTTTTAACAGTTGAGACAATATATGGAAACATCATTCAACCGGATTCAGTTTTATCAGTTCATGAAGGAGATACAGTGGTATTGTCCTGCTCCATTTCATCAAAACAAATAAGTCTGGCTTCATGGTACAAGCAAGTCACTGGAGAAGAACCCCGTCTCATCGCTTCCTTACTTCTCCATTCATCAAAAAGCCAATTTCACAATGAATTTGACAATAGTCATTTTGAAGTGTCAAGAGTTATTGACACTTTTAATCTGAAGATCATGAACACCGTACAATCAGATTCAGCCACATACTACTGTACAACATCTTTCACTAATATCCTTAACTTTGGAAATGGCACTTTTCTGGTTATTAAAGGTGAGTCAGTGCATGTCTCTTCATGTTAAAGTGTTTATAATGATGATTTTGGGAATAAAACAGCTATTTATACAAAACATCATCCATTCCAGGAGCAGAAACCAGCAAACCCACTCATGTACAGCTGCCCAAGTTTGAACTAGTTGAGTCGGCGGTAAATGTGCCTCTACAGTGTTCAATCCAAAACCAGTTCGTGAGTGGTGGAGGTGAACATCGTCTCTACTGGTTCAGACATGGATCAGGAGAATCTCCTCCAGGATCCATTTATATTCATGGAAACACAAGTGATCAGTGTTTGGAGAGCTCTGAAGCTGGCTGTCTTTCACCGACCTGCGTGTACAACCTCCCAAAGAAAAAGTTCGGTTCATCAGATGCTGGAATTCACTACTGTGCACTGGCCACATGTGGAGAGGCTTTATTTGGAAATGATCCTAAACTGAATCCTGGTAAACATTTGATTATTTCTTCTGTACTTATATTTGAAAATGGCATGTTTTTATAGTCAAGAGTTTTGTAAGAGTTGAACAGAGAAAACAGACCTAAATATTCTTCTGCTTACAAAAATATAATACCAAATTACTATATTTCTTCTCAAGCTTTAGACTCAAATGAGAGCCAGACAATACAATTCCTTCAAATCGGTCTTGCAGCAATACTGGCAATAAGTCTTACCATCAATATACTGCTTTGTTGCTTGTGGAAAAATGGTAAGCATTTTGATTCATTTATCTGTAAATAGCATAATTTATATTAATATTATTACAAAATAGTGTAAGAATTGCCCGATTAATATTGTATTTTTGTTTGATTATTTATTATATATAAAAAGCTGTAATATTTGAACATTTCTTTTTTAAGGCCACGTGTAAGCAATGCCGTTCTCTCTTTTTTTAAAGATGAATTCTCAAACTGTTATATATCTCTATTTAAAACAGGGAGAAAATCTCAACAAATACAGACTACTGATGGGGATGATAATGATGATGTGTCAATAAATCAGGTTATTGAAAACAGATTTAAGCCACTGATAATGCATCTACAATGAGTGATATGATAAATAACACTGTGGAAATCTGCTTTTTCCTTTAGAACAGGGAATTGACTTACGCTACTGTACTATACGGCAGCAGACACTCAAGAGTCAAGAGGATGAGCGTCCCCGAAGACACACTGTATTCTGGTTTAGCATGTCAACATCAAAGCTGAAAAATACTTTATATTACCATATTTGCCAGCATTTAGTTCTATTGCTCTGTGTGCACAGATATTTACTTCCCCAATTTCCTTCCAAAAAAAAAAAAAAAAAGGCATACCAGATTGTATAACAACAAACACTGCAAAAGCACATTATCAGAAGTACAGACAATATCATCATAAATATTTGTTTGTCACCTGATCGGATGTTCCAATTACCTGCTATTGTCCAGAAATTTTATTTTTTATTTTTATTGTTTTGTATATGTTTGTATGTGGGTGATATGTGCTAAGGAGAGAAATGCACGTTCTGGAAAATAAAGGTATGGTACAAAGTGCTAAAGGCTCCTTTTTAGTTTAAATTTTCTCACAAAATACTACAGCAACAAACGCCACAAAGACACCATCCTAAACGCTAGTTTTCAACATTTTTCTTCTCATTCAAGTCAAGTCACCATTATTTTTTATTGTACTTTATATAATAGAAATTGTTTCAAAGCAGCTGCACAATAATAAACGGGATTTAACAGAATTATTGATGCAAACTTCATCAAATATGAGACAAATTCAAATTATGCTGTAAAGCAGCTGTAGCGAGATAGTAATAGTAATTTACGTCACAAGGTTATTCTATACATGCAATAAATTAATTATCTAAAATGAATGTTTAAAGTGATTGACATAATGATGCTATGATACAACATTTTGATAATATGGTAGGCTATGGTATTTGCTATATTCTTTTTTTAATTAAAATTTCAAGCTGATTTTATCATTTCTTCTCACAAAAATCGTAGGCTATTGCACAATAAATATTTCATAAAAAGGAATATATACTGTATAATTGATCATTAAATATATTTTTGGGAACAAAAAAACCCCCACACATTCCTTTAGAATGGACTTTATGTTTGGATATTTCCGACTTCCCACTTCTGTAGTCGTGATTACAACTTACAAGCTTTCGCATTCAAGTGCTTTGTAGTTGGAAAGAACAGGAATCATGGCCATGGACACCAGGTTTATTCTTGCCTATTTATTGGGGAAATCGTATAAAGCCAAAATGATATTAAGCGTCATTCACTGACAACAATATTAAACATTCACCGCGCGCTGTTTAGATAGTCAGATAGTCAGCTTGCTGCTGATTCTGGAATTTCGGTCAAATACATGCTATTTTCGCTGTACAAAACGCTTTAAATGATTATTCATACAAATTTGGATCAATTTAACGAGAAGACAAGGCGATGTAACTGTTGTGGAAGAAACTAATAAAGCATATAGGCCTACCTGTCTCAGAAGCAATCGTTTCCTCCTCCGCCATGTTTAAAGTTTATGGACCACCTATCAAGATTATTCCCGAGTTTCCCAGTGGTAGCCTAGGATTCGAGATAGCGTTCATGTCCAATTTTTAACAAGGAAACTTTTTACGATAATCCCTATAGCACGTGAACTTCGTGAAGGCAGCATTATGCGTTCACGTGCTATGGTAATTATGGTAAATACCAAAAGCCGACATGGAAAATGCACATGAACACCCCCTCATGTGGTATTTTCTACTGGGCAACTCGTAGAATATTTGATGCACGAGTTGCCAAGATGAGATTACCTTTGACCTTTTCAAAATGGCGGAGAGCAACGCAAGAGTTGTGAATGGTAAAAATATGTACTATTCATGATCTAAAAAATATAAAGCATATATTATTTACGTTTGAGTTTTGATAAATCATTTTCTTGCTGTAGCAGATGACTTAAGCAATCTAAAATAGTTTTAGCTAAATAACAGGTCTGGATCTCCATCTTTTTACCACATTAGTCAAGTCAAGTCATCTTTATTTATATAGCGCTTTTAACAATGAATTGTTTCAAAGCAGCTTTACAGAGATAAACATATAATTTAAGGTAACAGATTGTTTTGGCGTTATAGCGGTTCTTGAATAATGTTACTTCCAGCTAAAGTTAACTTTGATTGATTTCACCACCGTCGAAATGATCAGACTTTAAACGCGAACCTGTGATTAACGCTGACGGCGTTCACATGCTCATTCAGAATTCTATAGTTATGTGCTTTTTAAAATATGTGCGCAGGTTTGTAATTCATACAACCCAGCCTAAACAAACTACTTTTCTTGCCTATAAATTTTGATACAGAATTTTGTTTTATTTTATCACTTCGTATCACATTACGACAACAAAAGCACTTGAACGCAACACACTGGTAAATACCAGTTCACAAGTGGAAAATATCATATTTTCCATAGCACGTGAACGCACCATTAGTCCCGTTGTACTGACTGAGGCAAAAACTTTTCATTACTTTTTCATACACAAATCCTTGTTTTGACATTATTTGAAGCTAAAGTGAGAGGAAAGTAAAGTCATAAGTAACATTTCCTATTAAAACCTTGAACAGACTGTATTATATCAATTCTTTTTTGATAAGAAACAATTTAAATCAATATTCACATTAGAGAAATAAATGGGTTTAAGAATCAATTAGCCTATCTAAACTAACAGATCTTGCACCAACATCCACAAACCACAAAGTGGCAGCAGAGACCATATATTCAGTGCAAACAGCGTACAGATGAGTTACATTCATATAGGTTTGCAGGTATTGTATATCAATGACAGATTTGTAGTATCTATTCAAAATCAAAACAATATGAGCACTGATTTTGGAACATGCAAATTCTAAGAATTTGAATTGTATTCCTCACAAATCTAAGCCTATGTGAGAAAACAGGGGTGAATACATACAGTAGCTGTGGTGTAGAAAATGAGACCATCAAGACAGACAACATCTAACACAATTAAGATAGACTAAAGGGCAGTTTATAAACTTAACTTTTTATAAAAACATTTAAAAAAAAACTAAACTGACATTAACAGATAACAGTCTCAACTCTAATTTTATAATATTGATAATGTATGTGTGCACAGAACTATTGGACACTGAATCATTAATTACATCACATCCTTTAAATAAAACCAGTCCCTGTAAAAGAGAGAACACAACTGTTCAGCTAATGAGGCCAGGTTTGTATTTTAGCATAAACTGCACGAGTCTTATCTGCGGTTGCAACTGTGTCAGGTCCAGGAAACAGGTAATAGTGCTAACAGAACAGAATCATGTGACAGTGCTGTTCTTCAATGCGTATATCAACATTATATAACTGTGGTTGAGCTTCTGTTCCCAAACTGAAGAAGAAAATGGATAAAAAACTTTGTGTGATGGTTTTACTCTTAACGGAAATGTGTAAGTGTATATTTCTATAATTATAATTTTTCTAATTAGTCTGATATAAATGTTTCGTTTTAGTTGTTTGATGCACAATGTTAATTATTTTACAGTGGAGGGACTATATGGAAACATCATTCAACCGGATTCAGTTTTATCAGTTCATGAAGGAGATGCAGTGGTATTGTCCTGCTTCATTTCATCAAAACAAATAAGTCTGGCTTCATGGTTCAAGCAAGTCACTGGAGAAGAACCACGTCTCATCGCTTCCTTACTTCTCCATCCATCAAAAAGCCAATTTTATAATGAATTTGACAAAAGTCATTTTGAAGTGTCAAGAGTTATTGACACTTTTAATCTGACGATCATGAACACCGTACAATCAGATTCAGCCACATACTACTGTACAACATCTTTCACTAATATCCTTAACTTTGGAAATGGCACTTTTCTGGTTATTAAAGGTGAGTCAGTGCATGTCTCTTCATGTTAAAGTGTTTATAATGATGATATTGGGAATAAAACAGCTATTTATACAAAACATCAACCATTCTAGGAGCAGAAATCAGCAAACCCACTCATGTACAGCTGCCCAAGTTTGAACTAGTTGAGTCGGCGGTAAATGTGCCTCTACAGTGTTCAATCCAAAACCAGTTCGTGAGTGGTGGAGGTGAACATCGTCTCTACTGGTTCAGACATGGATCAGGAGAATCTCCTCCAGGATCCATTTATATTCATGGAAACACAAGTGATCAGTGTTTGGAGAGCTCTGAAGCTGGCTGTCTTTCACCGACCTGCGTGTACAACCTCCCAAAGAAAAAGTTCAGTTCATCAGATGCTGGAATTCACTACTGTGCACTGGCCACGTGTGGAGAGGCTTTATTCGGAAATGATCCTAAACTGAATCCTGGTAAGTGTGAGCTTTTCAACATCACATAGAAAATATCAGCCCTACAGTGCATATTATGTGTTATGAAATATTGCTTCTCATGATTTAGACAACTTCAAGAGCCAGAACACACACTTAATCTTTATAACGGTCCTTACGGTGCTGCTGACATCCAACTTTACGATCAATATTCTGCTGTGCTGCATGAGGAGGAAAGGTAAGTGCTTGTTAGAAATCTTGCTTCTACAATCAACAGTTTGTTACGGCATAGTAGTCATTCCATGATCGACTGAGAAGTCTAAATATACAGCAAACTTTTTTAAATATATATCTTTTTCTTAGTCAGATGTCCTATATTAGAATTAGATAATTTATGTGAGGGCTAACCAGTGTGTGTTTTATTACAGAGTCTATTAGTGCAATAGACAGCAAATATCAGCAAATCCAGATTACTGATGATGATGATGTGTCAATAATTCAGGTTTGTCAAATGAAACTCTCCAGATGTAAAACCACTTATAATACATTTATTATGATTTATCATTATAATTTTGTCGAAGTTTAAATTATATTGTCTGGAATGTTCTTTTTTTTGTGTAGTATAAGGAAGTGAACTTTTGACCTTCACCCATCACCACCAAACACTCGAAGAGTGAAGAGAAACAACATGACATATGATATGACATATGACATATGAACATATGACATACGGGTTTGACATATCAAAACCATGGCAAAAATAAAAACACAAACCGGCTGTAGATTAGTATTATTCAGTAATAGCCATTATTTCATTTGGGCAATTCTGAAAATTATTTTTGATCAGTAATTATTATTAATGGGCTGATATGTTGTAGTGACTAAAAGACCAGTCACAGTTAATATTTTCCTCAATATCTTATTGCAATAATTACATGCAATTTTTATTTGCTTTATTCATGTAATAACATCTACAATAATTTAAACATTCTATGCATTCTGTCTATGCCACCATTGTACAATTAGTCTACTTGTGTTCTTATAAATGTATTCTACAGATATATAATGGCATAAATAAAGTACTTTCCATATGTGTTCTGTGTGTTTTTGCATGTGTTGTGATTGTGAACTAGACGGTGAATAGATCCAATGATCTGCAACCATTAGGTGGCAGTAAAGACCACGTGTTAAATTCAGCATTCAGCAAGACCCTCTTTTAAAGGGATAGTTCACCCTCAAGTTGTTCCAAACCTGTATGAATTTTCTTCTTCTGTTCATCACAAAAGAAGTTATTCTAAAGAATGTAGGTCACTAGACAGTTGATGACACCCATTGACTTAGTATGGGTTTGACTTAGTATGGGTTTGAATCCAATCGCTACTGCCAACTGTTTGAATACAAACATTCTTTAAAATATCTTGTTTTTTGTTCAACACAAGAAAGAAACTTATAAAAGTTTGGAACAACATGATGAGTGTGAGTGAAGGGTGAGTGAAGGCGCTTTCACACGGGACCTGGCAGTCGTGAGTATCTAGTTAATTTTCAATAGGAGACATGCGGAAAGCGACAAAATGCGGGTGGTCACAAGCAATGCTCGTTCACCCAGAATCCTGCCGCTTTCATATTTTATTTTATCTTTTTGTGAGTGGCCAATCATCAAACAGGTTATTAGCAACCAATCATAGGACATTTTACTGAACTTATATCGGAGTGCTGAAAATATAAATATTATTGATAAATAATTAATGACAATAATTAATAATGACACCACCACAAAAAAATCCATTAAGATATATTTATCAATTTGTTTTGTTGATGATTGTAACTATGGCAACGTCCACCCCAAGACAACGCAAGCACCACCTCAACTGGGAGGCCTCAAAATTCTTTAAGTTGATGATTGTAAATGGCATTTGCAACGTCAGAGACCACAAGTCAAGTCAAGTCACCTTTATTTATATAGTGCTTTTTACAACACAGATTGTATCAAAGCAAGCTTCACAGTGATAAAATGAAAATAATACAACAAAGTTTGTTTCTAGAAGAAAATTGCGTCATCGTCCACCTTAAGTAAGGTAGATCAATAATAGGTTGAATATTAAATGTACCCAACTAAGCAAGCCAAAAGCCAAGGCAATTTCACAACGCGAGCACCACCTCAACTGCACAAAACGCTTCCACTACGAGAGAAAGCGGCAGCCGCGCGGTGATTCCACCGCTTGCCGCGTCTCGTGAGAAAGGGCCTTAAGTGATGACAACATTTTCATTTTTGGGTGAACTATCCCTTTAAGAATTCTTGTTAAAGACCAACTAAATGTGCACTAGTCCTTTTTAAAGGGAACTATCTTATACAAGTACCAGGTTTCACCATTTGAGTTAACAGAATAAAAACAACATTACACATAAACACATTTTAACAAATGCACATTACATACACATACATTTTAATTTAGTATATGCAAATGAAGCATAGGCTACTATGCAAGTAATACGTGATTCATAAGGAAACTGTAAAAATGAACATTTCACAAGTTCCAAAGTTGACCTGTAAAGAACAACAGAGAGTCTAACAACATACATTCATTAATATGTATAAAATCAATGAGAACACAAACACAAATGACCTTTCTTTTCCCACAATTATGCCAAATAAATGCATATATCTAACAATACACAGTACAAAGCCATAATAACACTTAAACATACAAAGACATTAAAATAGGGAGACTTACAGCTATCATCTTGTAGTTTTCAAATAATCAGACTATACTCTAGGTTTAATTTTCAGAGGACGACAGTCAACTCATAAAATGTAGGAGAAGTTACCAAAATTATTCTGACAAATTGAATTAAATTGATGTTATAAGCTCATGATGAAAATATTTGTGTCGAAGTGAAATGCCCCTCTCTGGATGTTACTGCTGTGATCTGACCTGAGCGTACAGAGACTGCTCCTGAATGACCTTTGATTTGGTCCTTCTAGTGTTCAGAGGTTTCTGACCAAAGCTAATGGCTGCGTAATTCATGCTGTCTTCATTCTAATATCAAGAGAGAAAATCATTTCCAATTGTGAGAGGAAAATTATGATGTGGCATAATATACAACAAAATATTTTAAAAACCCTGAAAAAATAATATTATCTAATATTAAATTGATAAAACATATACATTGATAAACATCTGGAAAAGATCTCAAATGGAAGATAATTGTGTACTTACTTGATTCTCTTGAGGTTTGAGCACTTTAGGAAATGAAGAAACAAGCCTTGTCATTATAAATGGCATTTAAATTTTTAACAATTTTTCCTTTAACATAATAAATTAATTTTATTCAGAAAGTCCTACCTTTATTCTGACCCCTGAATAGTTTTATTCCCAGAAAAACAACAAGAGCAAAAAATATAATGTTTGAAATTCCAAGAGCAAGAAGAGTTGGATTCAAATCACCACTTACTGAAACACAAATAATTTGATCTTCTTAATTTTTTTTTTTTTTTGATGAGTTTGGTATTATGTACTCTAGTATATTAATCAAAGGATAGGAGATAAAGCTAAACATTTCAACATTTAAAGCCAGATATTAGCATTTCACCTTACCTCTAAACTTGAGTTGAGTTCCTTTTCCAAACAGTATCTCTCCACATGCGGCCACAGCGCAGTAGTAAATCCCAGCATCAGAGTCACTGATGTTGCTCTTGAGGAGATTGTAGACGCAGCTCTGTGTTTGAGACTCACTGCTGTTCTTACACTGGCCATTTCTCTCTCCTTTGGTGTAAAGGACTCCTTGAGAGTCTCCCAAGCTTTGTCTGAACCAGTAGACGCTGTATTCTCCACAACTCTCACTGAAGATGCTGCACTGCAAATTCACAGAATCCCCTGGATGAAGCGTGTCTATCAAAGACTGCTGAAGAGATGTGTGTCCAGCTTGAAAAGTGACATAAAAGGAACATAAATAGTAAGCAAATCATTTATGGCATGATTGATGCCATAAATCAAACAAAACTAAAATAACAAGCAGGGAAACTTACCTTTAAAAAATAATCTAGTGCCTGCACTCATTCCAATGCTGTAATATGATGCGACGACACAATAATATGTTGCTGAGTCTGAAGGCTTTGTCTGTAAAATGATCAGATTAAAATGATCATCTCCTTTGGAAACATTAAAACGGTTCATTTTCTCAAAGTCCTTATTCCAGCTGGGTTGTTGATTTAAATATAGAGATACAATTTGTATGGATTTTCCATTGGATGTCCGTTTAAACCATGCTCTTGTTGATTGCAGAAGCTTTGAAAAGCTGCAAGTAAGATTTACATCCTCTCCAGCTCGAACTACTTTTACGTCTTCCTGAACAACATCCACATTAGAGGACACATCCGAGGAGCAGACTGCAAAATCAAGCACACAATAGTAACTTTTAGAGTTGAAAGTGTTAATGAAAAGACTTGTTTAATGTTTAAACGGCATTTAGGTATATTTACATATTGTTGAGGAAAGCAAAAGAATGAAGTAATATCTCATGATCAGTCGTCTTCCAAAATTATCCTCAGGCTTTGAATTCCCCTGAAAAAGCAAACGAATGAGCCACACCATCACACACGCTAAAGAATAAGTGTAGATCACTAGACTGTGTCCTTACCATGTGTCCATCTGTCTCTGCTTCAGTCAACTGAGGCACATGTGCACTTTCACCTTAACTTTTCTGCTGTCACACACTGTCGCCACATCAAAATGGCTAACCTAACCATCTTTCCATTGCTCCAAAAAAAGACAGGTGTTATTAATACTACTGCTTAGTAAACTGGCCTCTCTCAAAACTATGTGGGTAATATGTTGTTTTATTGCTAATGCTTGATGTGGTTTGACAAAGGGGAAAAAAAGCAGGAAATAAGTTTCAAAGAAGCATGTAACCAGAAGACAAACCTTTAAAGGGCCTCACATGAAAGTTCTTTTTTACCGATGATGAGCATCCAAATATGAAACATTTAAATAATGTTTTGAATCAAGGGGATGGCAGATGAAAGGGCATGATCAAGTTTAACTATTCTGGATTGGTGAATGCATACATCTGTCACGATATGCTGATCAGTAAACACAATGGAGAATACAACATAAAGTCTTTAATAAACTGACATTCAGGAGAATACAGGATAAGGAATGAGAATCACTAAATAAACATACCACGTGAACACAAGACAGAACACTGAGGAGAACTAAGGGCTTAAATACACAAAGGGAGGTAAAGAGGAAACCAAACAGGTGAGTGTAATCAGTAACCAAGGGAACAAACTGACACACACTAGAAAAATAGTGGTACATTCCATGGACTGTAAAGTGGACTTCACATCTTAAGTGAGATTCCAATCCGAAGGGAGTGAACATGTTCAGTTCAAAGGGAACTGTGAACTGCATAGGGGATAAGGGAACATCAATGCATCACTTCACAGGAAGTGGAGAGCGAAAATCACCTAACTGTCACTGCGCATCGCGCCACCAGTCTGTACTAACAATGGAGCAGAGCCTTTGGGTGAATTTTTAAAGGTGACATTTCATGATAATCTGACTTTTTTCACTTTTAAGTGCTACAATCGAGTCCCCGGTGCATCTACCAACCCAGAAAACGTGAAAAGTGACAACCCAGTAACTTTGTTTTGGTGAGCCTTTCTCTGCAAGCATGTCAAAAAATAAGCTGATCAGATTTCGCCCCACTTCAGACGTAAGAAAGGGGATCTTATTATAATATTACCGCCCCTTAATCTGCACGTTTCCATCCGTGGCGCCGCCATTCTCGCATTCGCAAGTGACAACAGTGTAACCAGTTCTATTGCAAATGGCAAAAGTTTGAGCAAAGCAAGCCAACTGTTTCGTTGTGTCGTTGGCTGCACAGACGAGGACTGAACACTATTTAGAGCCACAGTCTCAGACGAGACAAGAGAGCAGTGGAATGAGTGGATTAATTTTATTTTCAACGGTAATCCCCCAGAAACAGATGAATCAATGTAACTCCACAACAACTACATGTATCCACTAATTCAGAAACGTCCAGGTGCATCTAAAAATTGCAACCTCTTCCTGAGTCTCCCTGTAAGGATGCACTCCGGTACTGGTTATTTCTGAGATTTTAGATAGGTGAGATTATTCGTGTGTTTTGTTATTGTATCCGAAGCTTGTGTAAAGGCTCCGCTCTATTCTGAACGAGGTGGAGGAGCAGAAGCTCATTTACATTTAAAGGGAGACAAACAAAAACGGACAGTTTTTTTGCTCACATCCAAAAAGGGGCAACTTTGACAAACTATAATAAATATCCTGGGGGGTATTTTGAGCTGAAATTTCACAGACACATTCTGGGTACACCATAGATTTATATTACATCTTATGAAAAGTGGCATAATATGTCACCTTTAAACGGTTCTGTGATGGACGAGTTTACGTATAGAGTATTGATAAATATTTTGTTGCTATTTTGCAAACTTGAATATTTTTGAATGGTTATGGCGATGAATTTGACATTTGCATGTTCTATTGTATGAATAGTTATGTAGACAAAGTAAAAGTGTAATTTTTTTATTTTACTTTACCAAAGGAATGTTTACTATGCATGCAGCTGTGTGTGGGAAAGAAAGCGCACAAGATGAGACCACTTTCCTTTATTAAGATCATTGATTAAGAACACATTTACACATAGTTAACCAAATCAAAACTTATTTTCATTATGAATGACAGCTTGAACTGCCCCCCTCCTTGAACTGACAACTTACCGTGGTGGTGGGGTTTGAGGACCTGAATGACCCTATGAGCTATGTTGTCCGGGGCTATATGCCCCTTGTAGGGTCTCCCAAGGCAAAAAGGTCCTAGGTGACGGGTCAGACTAAGAGCGGTTCAAAAACCCTTCATGATGGAGTTAAAATCGAGGACCGTGACGTCGCCCGGCATGGAGCAGCCGGGGCCCCACCCTGGAGCCAGGGCCGGGGTTGGGGCTCATATGCGAGCGTCTGGTGGCTGGGCGTCCCTCCATGGGGTCCGGCCGGGCTCAGCTCGAAGGAGTGACGTGGGGCTGCCTTCCCCTAGGCTCACCACCTGCAGGAGGAATTGTAAGGGGGCGGTGCTTAGTGGTTCAGGCAGTAGTCGAAGGCGGGGGCCTCGACAACCCAATCCCTAGACACGGAAACTAGCTCTATGGACATGGAACGTCACCTCGCTGGCGGGGAAGGAGCCTGAGATTGTGCGTGAGGTTGAGAGGTACCGACTAGAGATAGTCGGCATCACCTCCACACACGGTTTGGGCTCTGGAACCACACTCCTTGAGAGAGGATGGACTCTTTACTACTCTGGAGTTCACCCCGGTGAAGGAGAGGGTCGCTTCCCTGCGCCTTCGGGTCGGGGATAGGTCTCTCACTGTCGTGAGAGACCTATCCCCAAACGGGCCAAACGGCATTGCAGAGTAGCCGGTCTTCTTGGGGTCTCTGGGAGGGGTGCTGGAAAGTGCTCTGACTGGGGACTCCGTCGTTCTACTGGGGGACTTCAACGCCTACGTGGGCAGTGACAGTGACACCTAGAGGGGTGTGATTGGGAGGAACGGCCCCCCTGATCTGAACCAGAGCGGTGTTCTGTTATTGGACTTCTGTGCTAGTTACAGCTTGTCCATAATGGAAACCATGTTCAAGCATTAGGTTGTCCATCAATGCACGTGGCATCAGGACACCCTAGGCCGGAGGTCGATGATCGACTTTGTGGTGGTTTCATCTGACCTCTGGCCTTATGTCTTGGATACTCGGGTGAAAAAGAGGGGCGGAGCTGTCAACTGATCACCACCTGGTGGTGAGTTGGATCCGATGGTGGGGGAGGAAGCTGTACAGACTCGGCAGACCCAAATGTACTGTGAGGGTCTGTTGGGAACGTTTGGCAGAGTCTCCGGTCAGAGAGATCTTCAACTCCCACCTCTGGCGGACCTTCGACCGATCCTGAGGGAGTCTGGAATTATTGAGTCCGAGTGGTACATGTTCTCCACCTCCATTGTCGACGCGGCCACTCGGAGCTTTGGCTGTAAGGTCTCCGGTGCCTGTCGAGGTGGCAATCCCCGAGCCCGGTGGTGGACACAGGAAGTAAGGGATGCCGTCAAGCTGAAGGAGTCCTATCGGGACTGCAGACTGCAGCCCGTGTTATTTTGGAGGCAAAAAATCAGGCCTGGGAGGAGTTCAGTGAGGCCATGGAGAAGGAATACCGGTTGGCCTCGAAGAGATTCTGGAAAACCATCCGGCGCCTCAGGAGAGGGAAGCAGTGCCCTACCAACGCTGTTTACAGTGGAGGTGGGCAACTGTTGACCTCAACTGGGGATGTTGTCGGACGGTGGAAGGAATACTTCGAGGGGCTCCTCAATCCCACCAACATGTCTTCCATTGAGGAAGCAGAGGCTGATAGCTCGGAGGTGGACTCGTCCATCACCCAAGCTGAAGTCAAGAGGTAGTCAAGAAACTCCTCGGTGGCAAGGCACCGGGGGTGGATGAGATCCGCCCTGAGTACCTCAAGTCTCTGGATGTTGTGGGGCTGTCTTGGCTGACATGCCTCTGCAGCATCGCGTGGCAGTCGGGGACAGTACCTTTGGGCTAGCAGACCGGGGTGGTGGTCCCTCTTTTTAAGAAGGGGGACCGGACGGTGTGTTCCAACTACAGGGGGATCACACTTCACAGGGAGAGTCTATGCCAGGGTACTGGATAGGAGAATACGGCCAATAGTAGAACCTCGGAACAGTGGCACAGTGCTCATTCAGTAAATGCAGGACCTTATTTCGCATTGCCGGCAGTAAGTCAGACTTGTTCCCGGTGCATGTTGGACTCCGGCAGGGCTGCCCTTTGTCGCCGGTTCTGTTAATCATTTTTATGGACAGAATTTCTAGGCGCATCCAGGGGCCGGAGGGTGTCAGGTTTGGGGACCACACGATTTCGTCTCTGCTCTTTGTGGATAATGTTGTCGTGCTGGCCCCTTCAGACCAATGTCCCCCCGGAAGAGCTGGAGGAAGTGTCTAGGGAGAGGGAAGTTTGGGCATCTCTGCTTAGACTGCTGCCCCCGCGACCCGGTCCCAGATAAGCGGAAGAAGATGGATGGATGGAATGACAGTTACTGCACAGCTTCAAATCTGTTAATAGTCAATTAATAGCTGGAATAGCCAATTAAATATACAAGTAGTCTAATTTAAAAAAATATATATTTATTAGATACATAATGTTTGTTTTGTATATTGACTCCTTTGGTAGCGATCCCATCATTATTAACATAGCACAGCTGATTGGTTGCTGTTATATCTGTCAGAATGAGAGTCGTAGATCCAAATGCAAGCAAGCAGTTTATTAGCGACAGGCAGAACAGGTACAACACTCAAAACACCACGTTTAGCAGGCGGGCGACCTGAATGCCACAATCCCAGGAGAGTAAAGAGTGACAGGAATAAACACAGTGTGGACGCAGGCTGATGGCTGGTTGAAGAGAACTCCAGACGATCTCCAGTAGCCTGGATGCACAGACGAGATCGAGGAAGTAACTCGATCTCCGGTAAGAAAATGTAGACACAGGAACTAGGTGAGAGAACACAAACAAGAGTGACGAACCGACACCAAGCATAATTCACTCCCGCTAGAAATAGGCAGTTAACAAGCAGTAGTGACTAGCTGCAGCTGAAGGGTGATTGAGTGATCAGCTGGTTACTAGGCAACAAACAAGCACTACACACACAG